CCGATGGGCCAATAAAAAATTTCCCATCCGGAAAATCGCTCGGAAATAAATAGCGTTCGTGGTGCATGCTTCTCGAACGTTACGTTGTATATACTCCGTAAATTGTGTAAATAATATATTCTTCGTTCCAGGGTTTATCAAGGTATAAAAATACACGTCCTACAACTGTTGAAGAATTGGGTTCAATACTTGATAAAATGCGGACCCATAGTAAGACTGTAGAGAGTAACTTAGGTAAGTGGAGATGATTCTTAAAATTTGCAATTCATTCAAATGATAAGTATAATACTGATTGACTCTATTCTGATGAACCTGCAGGATAACTGGGGATTGAGAGAGATACAACTACATGAAAAATCCAAACAGAAGTAGTTCACTCTCAATCCCCAGCTGTCTTGTTATCATCACTACCTACCAGGCTACCACTGGAATACACCGTCGGAGATGATAAACTTGCAGCCTTCATTGATATATACTGCTTCATTCTGCTTGATTTTAGATAATGTATTGAACGGACAAAAACGCCCAAAGAACAAGAAAGAATATAAAGAAGCCAAGAGATTGCTTAATGAGGTTGGTACAAATAACCAGTGGCGGACACTAGGGGGAGGTTAGGGGAGCAACCCCTCACCCCTCCAATAATTTATTTGATGTAGCTGAATAACTGTGTGACAAAACTGTAACAATTTTCAACCATGAAAGCATTGGTAGGCTGTAAACTAAACTACATATTGCGTGGAATTCAAAGAAAAAAATGTAAAGAACTATGATTTCCAGCTTACAAATGGTGGTTACATGTTGGCAAACCTCACTACTATTTATAGCACCATATAGTTGGTTCCACATCGATCAATCTAATGCCATTTGTATCTATCCAAATCAATAATTAAATTATTCGATTTTTCAATGAGGCAGCACACTATACTTGTCACTGATAATGTTTGTCCATAGTTCCGACTCGGTCCAGTCGTTCGCGCGATCTTTATATTGTCGTGATCTTGACTTTGCGTACACCGCTCGGTGTGCAGGGCGGTTTGGATGACTTATAGCTTGCGCTAAAAAATTCAATTAGCAAACGTATTAAACGAACGTCCACTCCAATTAGCAAACGTAATAAACGGAAAATAGACGGAAAGTGTAACGCACGCGTGCTATAATCAAGGCCACCTCAGTGCTCGTTCGTGGGCGCGATAGTAACTCGTAGTTTGTTCTTTCTTTTCTGATTTTCTCAGTCATCTAAGCGACGCAGTTTAGTGACTAGAACCCTTTCTGCGTCTACAGATATCAACACTTTTTAAACGTTTCGCCCTTGTTCATTGATATACTATAGTTATAGAGGTAAATTCAATCGAATGTACATTATAGGTTCAGACAAAATATAACGAAGTACGATGTGAGTCCTTACGATCAACTACGATGGCTGCTGATATCTTACAAAAACCAGGAGTTTCTGCTCCAGCAACACCTGCAGCCAATACTAGAGATGTTTTACTCAGTCGAGGAAGAACTCGTGGAACTAATGGAATTGCTTCACACAACGGAGCTAAGAAAGAGCTGTCTAAGGAAGTGTAAAGATTGTAAAACAATTTCCAAACTAGCGCTTAGACCATTACTAGAAATACTGAAGCGTACCATTTGTACACACATTGTTTCGACTTCATCCAAAAGAGAAAAAAATCAACGCATAAAGACAAGATAAAATTCCAAAGAAATTAAAGAAAAAAATCGAGGCTATGCGTGAATTTCTGCAGAATTAATGGATCTATGGCATTGATTAATTAAAATATAAACGACTATAAATATAATATTTTTGTACTTATACTATATTAATGTAAATAGCACGACCTACGGACACACCCTAAAGATACAAATTGTACAAATGTGTCGAGGTTATTGTCGAGTTATTCACGAGCTATATAGCTTGGATATTTCGCTGACAGTGCCTGGATTTTGATTATCTTCAATACAAGGAGCAAATGATTTATAAAACCATTCTGCCATTCTTACGTTCCTCTCGTAGTGGATGGACATGATTTTTCGAACACAGTGAAAACAAGTCAGTATTTGCCGGATTCATCGTCCCTACTTTCTGGGATGGATTGCCACCCGATTGAAACATTGCAGCATACACCCCCTATCATCAGGAGAAAGACACACGCTCACCTTTACCTTACGTGAAGACCACACGTAAAAACGCGGAAGCTGTTATATATCTGCAAACAAGTCGTAACAAGGCTGTTGGAAAGCTAGTATTAAGATATTATCGCACTGCTTGTTCCCAGTTGTTATCACCTTGTTGCATAGTTGATGACGGTAATAGACTTGCTACAAGACTAATACAGGCTGTTTGTAACAAGTTGCTACGAGCTTGTTGTCATCAACTTGTCAACAACTTGTTACGGACAGACGATATGAGACTTGTTGGAACAACTTGTTGCGGGTCTGATGACTTCATCAACCTTGTTACAAGATGGTAACAACTTGTTCCAGACTTATTAACAAGACTTATTAACTTTGTTCCAGACTTATTAACTTTTTGCAAGCTGTGAGATTTTTACGTTTGTAGTTCATAGCAAGAAGATACCCCAGGATAGTGGTAAGCCCATTCTCTAATAAGCTGCCCTTTTTTAGAGGGAAAGATTTGAACCCCCCCCCCCCCAATCCAATAACCCCACCTCTTTCATAATAAAGAAATACATCTAGTACGCTGAATAGACCTTTCTATTTATGCAGTTATGCTGGAAGTTAATAGTTAAAAAATACCATATTTGGCTGAAACAATACGCCCCGCTTTTCTATTAAGCCCCCCTCTCCATTAAACGCCACCTCAAATGTCAAGCCATGTGCTGTAATGCTTGTTTTTACTAGTCATACAATATGTCTAGTATCTAAATCAGCGGGCGTTATACAAATCTCTAAACAATAACACATTTCCCTTCGTCGTGATTGGTTTTGCATTTCTCAGTCATTCTCGTAGCGTTTCTTGTGTACAGTTCATCAGCACTATCTTCACCGTGGATCCTTATACTCATGTCTCTAGCCTGGATGTAAAACTCGTGAGCTTCTTTGTAATCCCCTTCATATTCATGGATAAGACCAAAGTTATTAAGTGATCTTGCTAAAGAATCATCATCTTTTGTCCCATGTATGTGGATCCGTATCTCGTAAGCTCTGTTATGTAAAGTCCTTGCTTTACCCAAATCTCCTAATTCCATAACCGCATTTCCAAGATTATTTAATAGAGTCGCCTCTCTTAGTGTGGAAATATTATATTTCATGTACCTGTGTAGCAATTCTAGAGCTTCCTGGTAGGCTTTGGCCGACTCTTCAAATCTTCGTAAGTTATATAAACATAAACCTTGATTAAATAACAACGAAGTGTAGTGATAATAAGTTACATTGTACTGTTCAAGTAAGACCCTAGCAATCTCCATTGCCTGTTCATTATGCAAGAAAAATTTTACAACATCTATCGGAGATTCGGCTTTATAAAGCTCACTTAAATTATAATGTCCATCGGCAACATCTTGCAGATAAAAAATTTGATTCACCGCCGTTGAACTTCCTGCAAACAAAACAATTCGAATTTCTAAAGCTTTGGTATAACAAGATAAGGCTTCCTTGATTTGGCCCAAACTTCTAAGAGCAACACCATAGTTTGTATAACTGTCCGCAACGCTTTTTAGATTAGATGGCTGTGGGATACGCATGTAGACGCGTTCATTAATTTCTAAGGCTATTCTGTAATATTTGATCGCCTCTGACTCTCTTTTCTGAAGCTTCAAAGCATTTCCCAGCATTTTACAAATTTCAGCTACTTCTTGATCTTCCCCATTGTTCGAGGACAAATGAAGAGCGTTTACAAACATGTCCGTAAGAATTTCTTCAGCTTTGGAGTACTTCCTAAATTGTAAGTACATTCGCGCTGTAATTTTGGGGTTATTATTGTAGAATTCAAAGTTCATCACATGAAGTAAATTTTCTGAAGCTAGTTTCTCGATAGCTTCTTCTAGTGGCACAACAGTAAAGAAAAACCTCAGTAATAACAATGACAAATTATCAGGGAGATCTTCTGCAAGATTCACAAGGGAATTAAAATGCTCACTTTGACACTGATTGCTTAAATATGTTCTCAATCGAAATTCTGCAGCTATACCGAGTGCAGTTCTTAAATTATGAGCTCCTTCTAAAGAAAGAATCTTTGCAGACTCTAACTTATCGATCGCTTGCCATGAAGAAGAGCATTGAATATCGAAGTACTTCCCTATATTCCCAACAACGAGGCTTGGAAATCGGTAAATATCTGTTTTAACTGCATAGCTTATTCCTGGCCTTCTCACGTAGTTTTCAAGAGAATTATGGTATTCCTTTTGGACTTCAACCAGCTCTTGTAAAATTCTTTGTTTCCATGGCATCCGAATGACACGATACTTTGATCCAATATTAGTTTCTGCGGAGTTGTGATCGTTTACAGTTTCGTCTATGTACTCTTTCATAAAATCACTATAGTCCTCGAACAATGAACAATCTCCGCAAATTAAATGACAAGTAGAAAGCACATCAGCAACATGGTATCCCTCTTTAAAGATGGATGTCTCGGAAAGGAGGCCAGCCATATCCTCAGGAGTTTTAATCAGTGATTGCACCCAAGGCTTGTTCAACGTCTTGTCTCGTCCTTTTGGTGTTTTACTTGCCCAAGGCATGGCTCCATCAAATGAAAAACCTCTTTGACCATCATCATAAAACCAGTCATCTTCTTTGTTGCCAGAACAGTAATTATTCAACGATTTAATTCCCAGGCTAGGGAGAATGGTCTCGCCAAGTTCTACAAATTTTAACTGAAGAAAATTCGTGAAGTCAGTAAAATACTGCAGGACAACATCGGTGTTTTTCTCAACGAGGATACAAAATTCCAAATCAGAATATGGCGTAGCCTCCTCTCTTGCTGTTGAACCAAGGCTCAGTATAGAATATTTACACGGAGGGCTTGACATGACTTGCATACAGTCGTCTATCATGCATGTAATTAATTCTTTCATCGATTTCGATATGTCCTTATACAGACGTTGTGTATGTTCTATTCTTTCCTTTTCAACACGGATATCTCTTACGGCTGGGTCAAGTGAAGGCATATTATCTAAGAAACTGATTTTCAATTGACAGGATTCCCGGATCTCTTGAAGAGATTTCTTGTAATGTTCATGTCTTTGAAAATCGTTTGAACTGCCATCGTGCGGTGACTGAATTATTTCATCAATAAATATCGCGTGAACATTTCTAATCTCGTCTTGTAGTTGAATAATTTCGGAGTCTAAAACAGTCCTGACGTTGTGTTTCTTCTCTGAGACTGCATTGCATTGTTGCAGTCGAGTCAGCGAAGCAATGAATAAGCCTGAAGCTTTGACCAAATCTTCCGCATTTTTATGAATGCTTCCGCGAGCTTTGTAGACGAAACCTAATCCCCTAAGAGCGATTGCTAATTGGTACAGTTTATTTTTCTGCATATAGACCTGTCGTAACGCGCTGGCAAATCCCCGTTCAGCGTCTTCTAATTTGTTATTTTCTAGATGTCGCTTTGCCGTAGCGTGGAATCGCTCATACAATGCTTTAGATCGTTTTTCCATTTTTGTCGAACTTCAAGGTAGACTATGCCCGTCTGTACACTGGCGACCCAGGAGTCTATTTGCCCGCGAAGGAAGTCACAGGCGGGCGCGGGCAAATAGAGCCAAGATCAAACGATGTCGCAACAATGACGCCTAAATAAAGCGCAAAGGTCGCAATATGGTATCCTGCGCTAACTGTGACGCAGTCTCGTCGTGAAAGCGCATTCAAATACAGATTCAAATCGCGGGTACGGACATGCGTGCTGGGACGGACGGACGTGCAGGGACAGCGGGAAACGAACACAAGGGCACATATGGAAAAGACGGGCAGTTATGGAAAAGACGGGTTAGAAATTAGAATATTATAATATAAATCTCGCACAGGAACCTTATTTAGACACGTACAATTATCTTCTGTATATTAAACAGCTTGAGTTGAATTTAACGGGAGGTCTCAGCCGCCCAACTGCCCTTTCTCCTCCCCCCTCCCCCCTGAAGCGGCGGACAAAGTTAAAAACAGACTTTGAGCTTATATGACTTATAATCATGTTTTGGGGGGTTTTTTTTGTGTTTTTTTTTGTGTTGGTGTTATGTACTCAGGTGAATATGATGTTTGCGATGTTACTCTGAGAGTATATCCACACCGGCCAAGATTGAAAAATATGCCTGGCCACGGTGGGAATCGAACCTACGACCTTTGGAATACTAGCCCAAATGCTCTGCCAACTGAGCTACGCGGTCAGGTCGGTTCGAGTACGCGCGATATTTTGGAACTGAGTTTAGTTCCTTCGATATCAAAGCAATCTGGTAAAAAAATGATTACCAGATTGCATTGATATCGAAGGAACTAGACTCAGTTCCGAAATATCGCATACTCGAACCGACCTGACCGCGTAGCTCAGTTGGCAGAGCATTTGGGCTACTGATTCCAAAGGTCGTAGGTTCGATTCCCACCGTGGCCAGGCATATTTTTCAAGCTTGCCCGGTGTGGATATTCACTCAGAGCAACATCGCAAACATTATATGACTTATAATAGAAACGTTTCAGACAAACTACGGACTCCGCATTCCGCCAGAATTGATGTATTTAGGGACGGACTATTAGAAAGGTGAAGGGATGGGGGAAAGAACAGAAAAAATCGCAAAAAAATTCCTGAAAAAAAAATGCATACAACCAGATCGTGGTAGAACATATACCTAAACACGAAAAAAACATGCACACCAAGGGAACCGTTAAAAAATCAATGCATGGTCGAAATTACCCCCCCCTCTCCCGTCTAATCACTATTCTAAAGTAGCTTCCGTTGGGAAGCTTCAATACTTCCGGTTTGTCGATCCATGTAATTTGATTGGTTAGAAATCACGTATTCTGATTGGTTCAAATTTTCATATAAAAATATCTGCGTGTCATCGTGTCCACGTGGACACAGCGAAGATCTGCTACGAAGCAAGAAACGGAGAGCTTGCAAAAATTTTGATTTATCCTCGGATTTATTAAGTTTTTGTCGAGTGTCTCACCATGTTGGCTTCGGGGAAAGTCCCCAGACACTTGGTAGAAAGTACCAGATGTAAATACTGAAGTCTTTCATCTTGTTCTATGGCCAAGATACCGCATGGTGGAGTCGAATAGATGCAAGATGTTTCGTCAAAGCACAGTCATGCAGATGTCCAAGTTTCATGGCTTGGTTCAACTCAATGGGGCTCATTCTTGCTGTGTTCACCACTTTTTTAAATGTATGAAAGAATATAAACGAAATGTTCGATTATTGTGTCGTGTGTAGTTAAATATTGTGTTCATTTAGATGATTTGATCACCACGAAAATGTTGTTCGATCGAGCGCGTACACCACGTGGTCTCCTAAGATGGCGTCATGTTCGCATCGATTTTACCAGATTTTTGTGGTGGTTTATTGAAATTAGCAGCTCAAGATTATTTTCGGGGGGCTATACAAAACTCTTAGGGGTTTGTTTGCATGTTTCCTCGCAAATTTTGAAATTTAGAGTCTCTGGATCGAGTTGCCTTCGGAATTTCGGATGAAGCGGTACGATATTATAAATGACGTATTATTAAAATAGGAGCATTTTTTTAGTTAATTAATATAGAAATCATGATAGAAATACCTGGCCAATCCAAAATTTCAATTATGCTATTCTAATGTAAATTGTAAAAAGACAAATTTCAAGTTATTTAATGCCTTGGCCTTTATCCAAACCCTATTAAACAAAATTTGTTTCTAAAGCCAGGTCTCTGATATGCCATTTCTTAGTTTCCTCTACAGGCAACTTCTTTCAACATTCATATTCTCTCAAAAAATCTTAATTTGGTGGCAGCGGAACAGGTTTCATTTTTTTTAGGGGGAGGGCTAATTTTCTGGGTTCCATAGTAGTTTTCAGCTAAGTGAAAACACAATCCACATGTCAACAGTAGCTTGGGAGAGGCCCACCAAGGGCTTATGACCGACAGGCGACATTCCTTAAAAAGAGGTGACAGACTATCTAACAAAAGCGTCAAATGACAACTTTTGGCTGGGGAAAAGCGACAATTTGTGTTATTGGGTCAAAAGTGACAGCGACATTTATTACAATAAAACAAGTGACAAAGCAGCTACAAAATTAGTGACAAGCGACCTAGGTTACACCCTTGGTTGGCCTCTTGGGAAGATATTCAAAGTTAGGAGACTTAGGAGGGCTGAAATCCAGGGGCATGCTCACACAGGAAGTTTGAAAAATTGCTGCTTAGAAATATCATTTCCTGCACTTTCTTGGAGAATTCAGAATTGGGAAATGCTATGTTTCATGGGGTAATTGGTTCTGGTCAGTTTGAATGACTTGATGCCTGTTTGGTTGATAGCAACTAAAAGTGTTGGCAAATGAGCATAGTTTTACATGATGGAAAAATCTCTTGCTTTAATTATTAACCTATTGAGAGCCAGCACTCTCCACTTGACGAGTAAAATAGTCTGGCGTTAGACAGAGTAAAATACTAAAGTAGGGTGCATTGCCACTTAAGATATATATATACATGACTTAGCCTCCTCTGTGAAAATTGTTATGGTTGTTCAAGCCATTTCTTATCTTGCCTGTATTTCAGCAGAGATTTCTAGTAAAGGGAAAAATCCCAGTAGGGGTCCAAGCAATTTCACGCTGTGCTGATTGGAAAAAATTTGTTTATTATGTGAAAACCAGGACTTCCTCACTTCCATGCTATCCATGCATAATATACAGTAGTACTATGAGGGAGACCGGGGTTGTTTCAGGCAGTGGGGATTGTGAGCAAACCTGCTTCCAACCTTGTAGTCCACAAAGTAATCGTCCCTTGTCTAAGTTTGTTTGGCTTAAATTAATTGGCCTCAATAGACAACTAGCATGTTAGACTAATTTTTGATCTAGGCAAAAAAAGTAAATTCCCGTAAAGAACTTATTAAAATTGCAAAATTTGGTCACAAAATGTAAAGTATGGAAAATATAGCCTTGCGAAGTTTGCCTATTTTGTACATGTTCTTATTATGTGTGGAAATTGTTACCATTTTTGAGCCAAAAATGGTACAAACTGCAAGATTATGTTTTCCAAGCTTTACATCATTTTGCAACCAAATTTTGTAATTTTACTAATTTCATTATGTTCTAATTTAGCTGGGTGTTTGATTCCCTTCTCTTTACTTAGATTAAAATTTAGTCTAACATGCAAGTTGTCCATTTCCCACTTCTTTTAACTCATGGTAACAGCTTTGTAACACATGGGCATGGTTATCCCTTCCCAGATTGGAATGTTTGTAAGATATTGGTGATTTAATTGCCAGTGCACATCTGTCATTTTTAGCTGCACCAGTGCCACACCTTCAAGACAGGATGGGACCAATAAATAAGTCAAAAAATTTGATTTTTGCATGTACTAAAAACAGCCTGGTAATTAGAGCCCTCATACATAGGCTCACAAAGTGAATTTGTGGCCACATGGAGGCTATATGACTTGGCACAACCAGGGCGTCCTGGCACAACTTTGGCAGGGCCCTGGGTACAAGGTTGGGCTTCCAAGCATGTAGATTATTTTTTTTTTTTTGTGTGTGTTTTGATGGTATGTACTCAGGTGAATATAATGTTTTTGATGTTACTCTGAGTGTATATCTACACCGCCACCGGGCAGGCTGAAAAGTTAGCCTGACCATGGTGGGAATCGAACCGGCGACCTTTGGGATACTAGTCCAATAACATCAGAATACACACAAAAAATATCATGATCATAGAATACATTGGTATCGAAGGTACTAGACTTAGTTCCGAAATACCACACGCTCGAACAGACTTGGCCTCGTAGCTCAGTTGGCCGAGCATTGGGCTAGTATCCCAAAGGTCGCCGGTTCGATTCCCACCGTGGTCAGGCTAACTTTTCAGCCTGCCCGTGTAGATATACACCCAGAGTAACATAAAAAACAATGTAGATTATTGTTATTACAATACATCTCATTGTGGACATTTTATTTTTAATACAAGGTTAACTTAAAGCAATTGACAAGAGTAAAATTAACTTCTGCACAAGTTATTTGATCAACCTACACCAACAAAACTTTCTGATGAAGGCATCATAAATTCTGTCCATGAACTTTAAATTACCTTATTACATTTCCCACATATCCTACAAGTCACTACATTAGCACAACGTCAAATGCACAGTACGTAATTGTTTACATCTAAGAATGAACAGTTGAAAATAAAAACATTGTTTGATAAAACATTGTGGTGTGGTGTACAGTTGCTTGCTAGAGCAGTTGTGATACAGTCTAATGGAAGTTGGTTTTATTAACGCATTACGATGCTGATTAACATGATTATAAAGCTGGATTTTTGCACGGTTAACCCATTGAGTGCCTTCTTGTTGAGTGAAATTGTCTTTAGACGGAGTAAAATAATAAAGTAGGGTGCATTGAGATGCAGTGTCACTTAATGGGGTTAAGATTAAAACCTGTCAAATGCCCTTGACAATCTTTAAACTTTCACATGAGAATAAACAAATGTTTTATTTGCAACTGTTCATCCTTGCAGACAATGACACACAGTGTTAGAGAGATGAACTCTCCAACAATGCTTCAATATCCTTTTCGAGACTCTTTGGAGATGTTGTGGGTGCATAGCGTTTGTAAGGAACTCCATTCTTATCACACAGAAATTTGGTAAAGTTCCATTTGATTCTGTCTCCCAAAAAGCCACCTTTAGCTTTCTTGAGGAAAACATAAAGTGGATGTGTGTTGTTTCCATTGACATCAATTTTACTGAACATGTCAAAACCAACACCAAATCCTTTTACAAACTCCTTGATCGTGGCTTCATCTTCTGGCTCTTGCCCACCAAACTGGTTGCATGGGAAAGCTAGAATACGCAAACCTTTTTCAGCATACCTTAATATAAATACATATAAAACAAGTTATGATAATTTTGATGAGTCTTCAATTAAACTAGGGATTCAACATTGCATGTGAAATCGGGTAGTAATCTGTTGTACCATGTTTAATTTTTGTTCCGATGTCACAATAATTATGGATTTGGTGTGCAATACTGTTACAGTTACATTCACATGTATCACTATCAGGGCTAAGCCTGCTTTCTATTTGGTTCTTATACGTATTTAATACTTAACCATATAATAAACGTACTTCCCAAAAGTTATATTGGCAAGGGGACGGGTGTCTAGAAAACTAAGACTTCAAAAATTGTTTGCAAAATCGAACCGTCCGGCATAAAGACTACTAAGTACTATTACTAAGGATGAAAAACCATTTTATATATTTCACATAATTCATAAATATTATATATTTTATATATTAATAAAATAGAGTCCCAGGGATGCCGGAAGTTGCTGGGGGCAAGGGGTGCAATTGGTTAACAAGAGGGCATATTCCTTAACAAAAGGGCACTAATGAAAATGAAAGGGCATCTTAAAATTATTTTTGGCGACCTTCCCCGGCGCCAAAAAATTTTGAATCAGTGTACCATTTTAGGGGTAAAAAATTTTCCAAACATACCACAATTTTCCTAAATCTGAAAAAATTTTCGGACATACCGGAAAATTTTCCGGGAAATGTTATTTTTTCCGGAAATTAAAACATTTTTCCGGAAATAACATACATTGAATTTTTCAAAAATGCCCTTTGCGCAAAAAATGCAATTTTAATGAAATTTTTTCACGCAAAAAGGGCACTTTGTGCACCCGTATTCTGCACCCGTACTGCACCCACAAAGTTGAAAATGCAAAAGGCAAGTGGTGCAATTGCACCCGTGGTTCCGGCATCCCTGAAATAGACATACAAACTTCCTCGATCTGGATAGTTAATTAAATAGACGTATAATTCTATGCGCGCGTATACAGCTAATTTAATTAAGGTCGATTCTTTTATGTGTTGGTGTTATATGTACTCAGGTGAATATGATGCTTGTGATGTTACTCTGAGTGTATATCCACACCGGGCAAGCTTGAAAAATATGCCTGGCCACAGTGGGAATCTAACCTACGACCTTTGGAATACTAGCCCCAATGCTCTGCCAACTCATCCTCGTTCCCAGGGCTTCTCGGCTGCCTGTGTTGCCGAAGCCCTGGGAACGAGGATGCTGCCAACTGAGCTACGCGGTCAGGTTGGTTCGAGTATTTTTCAAGCTTGCCCAGTGTGGATATACACTCAGAGTAACCTCACAAGCATCATTAATTAAGGTTGTCCTTCCAAAAACTTGAACCTTAAACTCTGAGAACGCAAGGGATGACCCATCATCCTATTTAGACTCATAAACTCTAAGATGTATAGAAGACTCAGGACAGAAAACACACTTGCTGGGCAATTTTCTGAGTTTAAGGGTCTAATAGGTGAAAACCCATTATCCCTTGCGCGCTCAGAGTTTAAGGTTTAATGTTTTGGAAGGGCAACATATAGATCGTACGGAGGACAATACTGACAACATACCATATTACGTCATGTTAGCCCCAAAGCTGGTTGTACGACAACTTTTGCCTAAAACTGTTGCATGCTTACAACTCAAGTTGTACTATGTAAATCAAGAACACAAGTCACAACTCACCTAAGTTGTTGGAGTAAGTGAATTGTGTGTTTGCTTAGTTGTGTAGCAAAAGTTGTGTAGTAAAGCGGCCTTTAAATGTTTTTTTAAAACTGTATTATGACACCATTTCGAAGTCTTCGCTTTCGCGATCTTAGTTTTCTAGACACCCATGTTGGCAGGGGTGCTCGCGGTCACATATTCAAGACATCAGTTACAACATTTCCCAACATTACATTAAGAAATTGTATTTTTTCAACATAGCATGGCTACATGCACATAAATCCTAACCAGCCCAATCCCTAACCCTTTAGGAAGTTGTTGAGTTGGTATAATACGAAGTCAGAAACCTGGCGATCAAGTTGTACTGTGCCCTGTTACTTTTCACTCTGTCTAATGCAAGATAATTTTACTTGTCAGTGCTCAATACCCCAATGGGTTAATCTGACTAATTACAGTATTATCATTTAAATTACCTACTGGATTTCTTCACTATTTTTTTCATTTCCAACAACCAAGTTCACTAACATAATACTTGAAACTCTTACAAGCTTCACAAGCCAATATGAAAGGACTATGTCAAGCACTCGCTTTCAGTAAAAGCCTGAGTATACATATGGAATAACCTTGATTGTAATTCTTGAAGACAATTACATACCTTCACATATTCTAGAAAAAATACAATTCCCATATACGGTAACTAATTTCTATAATACATCTATTGAATTGTAACTTCTCTTTATGTACTTAATAGATTTTTAGTTCAAGGTACATACTTATTAATTTTTTATTGTACATACATATAATATTAATTAATAATATATTGCAAGTTGTTCATCTTCACTATATGTTATCACTTAACTTTATATTAGTACTGATGATCTTATAACTAATGATAGACTCACATTAAACTAGGCATTTTAGGCCCCAGTTACTGTACACAATACCGGATTCGCATTGGAGCAATATAAACACTTAAAAATATGTATAAAGTTCATCTGACTTTGCCATCAGGCGATGTATTGTGTAGCGCTAGCTCATTACATATGCAGATTCCGATGTTTACGTCATTTTATGTCATTGTATTTTCATATCATTATAAAATACAATGACGTAAAATGACATAACCAGTAAGTGTCTAACACCAGATAATTTTACTCATCAGGGGCGAGTGCTTGGTTAAGATATTCATGGTACCAGATGGGTAAAGTAATTTTTACAGCTTTTTTGTACAGTTAATCAATAATCATTCAAAATGTTTAAGAAATTGGTTGGGTTGGTGCCCAACTATGCTGCCACACACTTAATGTCTACTGAGGCCCACCAAGGGTGTAACCCAGGTTGCTTGTCACTCTTTTTGTAGCTGCTTTGTCGCTTGTTTTATTGTAATAAATGTTGCTGTCACTTTTGACCCATAACTCAAATCGCAATTTGTCGCTTTTTCCCAGTCAGAAGCTGTTGTTTGTCGTTCTTTTTTAGATAGTCTGTCGTCTCTTTTTAAGGAATGTCGCCTGTCGGTCATAACCCCTTGGTGGGCCTCTCTACTTAGTGGCTACTGGGCTTTAATACAGACATGGAAGGGAGGGCTTGATCATAGATAGATTTTCTGGGGGTGCAAGAAACTTGCACCCTCTGCCCCTGATATTAATTAAATTCTCATTGGATTAAATGCATAGCAGTGTAATTGAAATAAGGATTTCGAATGAAATATATATAAGGGCCTGTTCATATGATCCCGCTTACCGGGACGTCTCGCTTACCGAGACGAATATTTCCGTGCGTTCATATGGAGTATTTCGTCCCGCTTGCCGAGATGAAATTACATTGTAGTTCTATAATTAGCGTATGCAAAACTTCTAC